AAAAGGGCATTTCATTCCATCAATTACAACCCTACTGTCACTGTGATCATAGCTCAGAAGCGACATCATACACGGTTGTTCCCTGAGAGCCAGAGGGATGGTGGGTTTACAGGCAATGTGTCTCCAGGAACAGTTGTGGACACTAAGATTGTTCATCCATCCGAGTTTGATTTCTACCTCTGCAGCCACTACGGAAGCCTTGGAACGAGCAAGCCGACACACTACCATGTCTTGTGGGACGAGCATGGTTTCACCTCTGATCAATTGCAGAAGCTCACATACAACTTGTGCTTCACATTCGCTCGATGCACCAAGCCCGTGTCTTTGGTGCCTCCAATTTACTATGCTGATCTAGTTGCTTACAGGGGCAGGTTGTACTATGAGGCTGTTGTGGAGGGCCACTCGCCTGCTTCTGTGGGATCGACGATTTCTTCAACGACATCATCAACAACATCGTCGTCGACATCATTAGATGATAGGTTCTACAGGTTGCATGCTGACCTTGAGAATGATATGTTTTTCATCTAAAAGGTTGTGGGGAGCTTGAAACATATAGGGGGTTTACTATTGAAGTTTGTCCCTTACGCAACTTAGTTCCTTTGTTAATGCTAACCAGTAGTAGCAAATGAAGTTTGTGCGTGAATCTAATGGGCTCGTTCCGCTTAGTTATAGCTTTTCTATTAGGCTCTGAGAATCGTAAGGGGATTTTTGTTGGTGGTTGTGTGTTTATTTTAGCCTTAGTCGTATGTAGGAACAATTTAGGATATAAGATCATTTGATCTGATTTGCAAGGTTATGTTATCGTTCTTTTATATTACCTTATGTTTGGCTAGTCGACCATTCTTGATATTTTTTTATTTAAAATTTTCTATAAATATGTACTTTTATAGAATATAAATACGTACTTGAGTTTTCATTCAAATCCAATCAATTAAGAAGAATATTACATATATCTCAAACCCTAATTTCCATATCCTCTGAAATCTCGACTATCTCTCTTCTAAAGGTCGCATGTCTTTTATTCTTGTTCTTCCTTAATAAACCGAACTATTATGATTACCTCTTGATTGATTCTAAATGAAAACCCAAATTACATACTTAAAGGAAAACATTAAAACCTAATACAACTAAAATACTATTAAGATATATAATATTAATAGGTAATGAGTGGTATACTCCAGAAGTATTGTATACTCCAGCTGATCTGACCGTTAGATCTCCTTTTTTGAGCTTCGACCAATCTCAACGTCAATTAATATTTATCCATTAGAGGTTAGGGTATAGCATCATGCCCCAAACTCGATTTAATTCACGGTCTAGATAGAGATATCTCGCTAAGAGTGCCTGGAGTATAGTAAACTACAGGAGTACACCACTCTGACCCAATAATAATCATAATAATAATTAATAATTAATGGAAGACAATGTCTCATTAACAAACCGAGTCTCCATCAATCCCTCCCTCTGAAGACCAACCTTGCCCTCAACCTTGTAGCAAACTTCAACACTGTTAATCTCCCCTATCCTCGTCGTTATTTCCCAAAGTTGATCCCAAACTTGCTTGCGCTTCCTCATCTTCCAATGGTGGTCAAGTACGAGGCTTCTAGCACAAGTAGTTTCTTTTTCATCTATCGAACCTGCCCCAGTGTCGTCAGTGTCGTTGCACCAACTCACTATCTACAATGCGCAATCCGAAGTTTCTCCATGCACCTGCGGAGGAGGAGCGGAGGTCGGAGGGTCGTCATTCGTCACCTTTTATCGGTAGAGGTCAGCCGTCGTCATATTGTCAGTGGAGGAGATAGGACTCGCCAACTAGATTCAACAGTCGCCAATCGTCCACATGTACCCCTTTGATGAAATCATGTGACCCAAATACTCCAATCGCTGCAACCCAAAAGCACACTTGGACCCCTTAAGATAGTACTGATGTCGACGAAGAATTTCCAATACTGTCTTTAGGTGCGTGAGGTGCGTAGCCCAATCCTTGCTGTAAATCAAGATATCATTGAAGAAAACCAGTACATACTTGTGGAGAATGGGTCGAAAAATATCGTTCATTGCTGACTGGAACATAAAAGGCGCGTTGCAAAGGCCTAACTACATAACAAGATACTCGTAGTGGCCGTTATGAGTCCTGAAAGCAGTCTTATGTACGTCCTCCTTGCGCATCCAAATTTGATGGTAACTGGCACGCAAGTCAAGCTTCGAGAAGTACCTGGAGCCATGGAGTTCGTCGAGCATGTCATCCACCATGGGAATAGGGAAGCGGTCTTTAATGGTTTCTTTATTCAGAGCTCGATAATCCGTACAAAACCGCCACGTCCCATCCTTCTTCTTGACTAGCAGAACCGGAGATGAAAATGGACTCGAGCTAGGTGGAATGAATCCCAACTTCAGCATCTCGCTAACCTGTCTCTCGATCTCTTCTTTCTGGAAGTGCACGTAGAGGTAGGGTCTCACATTAACCGCTTTGGTTCTCACTTTATTAGCGATGTGGTGGTCGATCGGACAAACCGCTGGTAGGCTAGTGGTGCTTCAAAGAGATCGTTGAAGTCGTCCAAAAGATTTTGTAGTTCTGCTGGGGCCGAATTGACAACTCCTATCGACTCAGGAACACACAAGACCCAAACAGCTACCTCCCTTGGCCGAATGAGCTGGGGACAATTATACCGAACATTGGTCGGGCGATCCCTTAAAGAGTGACCCAACATCCTTCATTTTTGAAGTGTAGGGTAAGTTGTTGCCAGTCGATGGTAATAGGGCTAAGTTGTCTCAACCATTGCACCCCTAAAACCAAGTTGATTCCTTTGACGGGTAACTCATAGAGGTCCACCCCTATTTGCTCGCCATGGATGTCGAGGACGACTCCTTCGTAGTACCTTTCACATGACAGTTAATCCTTGTTGGCTACCTTGACGCTGAACGGAGGAACTGGTGATGAAGGTAAGGCAAGTCCCTTTGCGACGTCGATGTTGATAAAGTTGTGTAACGTCCCGCTATCAACCAAGGCGACTAGGGCTTCCTGTTGTAGTTTGACGCCAAGGCGGATGGTTTTTGTGTTTGAGACTCCGGTGAGGGCGAACAGCGAAACTTCAGCGTCGAGTGGCTATGGTGGTCGTCCTTGCGGTTCAAGGTTTTTTCAATTCACTGTCGTAGCGTTGTGACGAGCGCATTCCATGGTCATAGGCAAGTATCCTGGGAGCGGTGCAGAGCTCGGTTCTATCAAACCAGGCTCTAATACCAATTGATGCATGATAGTAGGGTTTCTACAAACTAAGAAAGAGAAAGCTAATCCAACTACTCTTTATTACCACTAATCAATGTAATTTATAGAGCTACAACCAAGGAAATAACTTGCGAGAAAAGAAACAACAATCTTACATAGAAAAGGAATGAGAAACCAACTTCCTTACAACAACGAAATAGACCTACTAATCCAACTACTCGCCAGCGATGAACCACAAATTGGGCTTTGGTATACAGTTTGATCAACGGGGCCCATCCAGCTCGACCTGCACCAGCTCCTCGAGTGGCTCTTTGGGCTCGTCAGGTGGCGGTTCTGTATCATCTTTTTGCATGTTGGTATTATAGTGTTGTTAATATTGTTGCCTATTGATCCATTATCTTCTATGAAAGATTGAAATTATTGAAATTTATATCTATTTTTGCTCACCTTCCCCAAGCTACAACTCCGTATAATGGTTGCTTTCATTGTTCAACTAACCTTTGGATAGTTTAACTTCACAAACCTGTTAATGATTTGGTATTCCCTAGAAACCTATAGGTAACAGCATTTGGAAGGGTAGTACACCTAGTGCCCGTCTGTTTTATGCACCACATTGACGTCACTCTCCTGGACACCGGTCACAGTGCTTGTTTTGGCAAATTTTATATCGAAAGTTCTATTATGGTCTAGAAAGAAGCTTTAAATAGCCTTTGATGAGGTCATCAAAGCCAAACACACTAAAGTTGAAGGGCCAATGATTCGAGCTAGGGCTAAGGCTTTTCGGGATCAAATTGCAAGCTATTTGGCTAAAGAGTTGGAGGGCTTAAGCTTGGATTTGCTAGAAGGAAAGTTCATCACACTATTGAGCTATGTGGATCACGAAATTGGGCTCAAAGGGAGGGAAGGAGGGTCGGCCATGGAGAAGGAGTCTCAAGGTGTGAATGGAATCAACAATGGATAAAGATCATGGTGTGAACACAAGGTGTGAAAGGAATTTCAAGTGTGAACACAAGGGGGGGGCGGATTTGAAGGCTAGGTTCAAGGTTAGTTGTTTACTTAGTCTTTTCCTTGTTTTTTAAGGTTTTTGTTTTCCTTGTTTGTTAAGGTTTTTGTTTTCCTTTTTCAAGTAGGATTTGGTTTTCCTTAGTTGTTTTGTGTTTAGATTTGTGGGTCTATAAATAGGAGTCCAACCAATGTATTTTTCATTCAAGTTTCAGAAATCAAATACAAGTGTTTACAAGTTCAAGTGAACATTTTGCTTATTCGCTCCTTTGAGGATTCGGGAGGTTTGAGTGGTCTCTTATCAACTAGAGAATGCATCTAGTTGTGGCGAGCATCGACGATATTGGTTGGCCTCTTCCACGGGTTCGAGATTGTTTGGAAGGTTTCATATACCTTCTGGCCCTTCTCACGAGTTCGGATTTGTTTGATCGATTCCGCAAGTATCTTTATTTTCGTGTTATTCAAGAAAGGAGAAAACCCCTAAAAAGTTCAACGTGTGCAACTCTGGTTTTTGGTCCGATTTGGGAGGATTCTCGAATTAGGATCATATCAAGTGGTATCAGAGCCCGGTTCAAACGCAGTGGAGAAGAGGGACATTCTTGAAGCGATGACGGAAAAGATAGAACAAGGGAATATGTTCTATACTCGTTGTTGGGTTCAAGAGAAGTTGTGTTATGTGGTTATTGATGGAGAGATCAAATTGAATTTGATCAGTTCAAGGGTAATAGCTAAGTTAGGGCTAACTACACAACAACATCCTAGCCCTTTCTTTATGCAATTGTCGATGGAAAATGCCTGGGTTTTTGTGACTGAACAAGTGTCTTTGGAGATCAAAATCGGGTCTTATGTGGATCAAATTCAATGTGAGGTCGTGCCTATGAAACTTACTCAGGTGGTTCTTGGTAAACCATGGCACAATGATCACCAAGCACGACGAAGCATGAGCACCAACAACATCATCTTAAGGCATCAAGAAAAGAAACTTGCCTTAATACCATTATCGTTGAAAGGAGTTGCTGAAGATAGGAGGCAATTACAACAAGCCTATGATGAGGAGCAAGCGAATCTGGAAGTAGAGAAATTGTCGATCAACTGTCCAGAATCACAGAAGGAGAAAGAGCAAGAGGCTGTCAGTGGTGCAAGATTCGTTGATGTGGATAAAAGTGATGCTTCCTTAAACTCAATCCATGGTGAGGAAGTTGAGGTAGAAGCTGGAGTCGAAGAAGAGAAAGATGAGGTTTTGGTTGATGGACTTACTATAGTCACTTGTGAAGATGATGCACAAGTTTTGATTTCATCTCAAGAAGAACCAAAATTTGAAGTAGGAGAGAAAGTTGAAGAAGAGGCAGAAGAAGTAAAAGGAGATATTCTTGTTGATGTTCCGGATTTGAGTGTGCGAGAAGTTAAACAATACAATAAGGAATCAGAATGCAAGGGCTGAGATGAATGCTTGGACATTATGGAGCATTCACCAATAGTTCTCGAAGTTTCTCATATTGATTTTGTGATTGGTGATGCAATTATCGAAGAGGAAGTCCACATGGAAAATCAACGAGAGTTTCTGAGCTACATAGAAAATTTTCCACTTTGTGATGTCTCTACAATTCATGGACGAATTGTTCATAAGAAGGGGGGAATAATACAATCCTCACCAAGGCAATTTCGTTGGAAGACCAAGAAGAGTGGCGCTCATCAAGGATCACGATTCTATAAAGATTCGAGGTCGAATCTTCTTCAAGAGAGAGGGAATGATGCGATATCGACTAGGGCGATATTCAATTCTCGTGGTCCCAAAAGAGTTCGATGTTGCGTAATTCTGATTTTTGGTCCAAGTTTGGGTGGATTCTCGAATTAGGATCATATCAGCCTTAGTCCTATGTCTTTGTATAGTTGATTCAAACAGTCAGATTCATAAGTACTAGACATTGAGATATATTTTCAAGGTCTAGCCCCTACTTTGGTCCTCATGCTTTTTCTGCCCTGTCTATAATGTGGGCACTAAATAGCTAGAGGTTCATGGCGAAGGACAGTCTCAAAGTTCACCTATTTTACTTGTACTCGTACTACTAGTGTGAGACCATATGGTTTCTCTTTCTAAAAGTTTGATATTCAATGGGTATTTACAACTACGTTTATACGAGTGAGAAGTTCTAAATTGCCAGATGCTCTTTCAAAGTTATGTCGGTATTATGGTGTTGTTAACATACTCGGTGTGCGCATAGGACTGAGGTTACCGAAGCCTCGTCACGACTTGGTGTTGTTCATAGACTAAGCTAATATATGAAAAAATAGTGATCTTGATGAAGGCAGACGCTTTAAATTTTCATATGGATATTGGAGCCGGGGATTGACTTCTGGGTATTTATAATCGGTATCATGAATGCAAGAGAAGGTTGGGCCCATTGTGTTTACAAGCAGACTGTGATTATGCCTAAATGTTGGAGTCCTATTTTGCACGGTACGTGTTCTGTTTGTTTCCATTGAAAAGTGTCAATGGATTCCATCTTGTAATAATCTTGGGTCTATGACCGTAGATGGGCAGTTGCCTTGAAAACAAGAGTTGAAGCAAGAGCCACATGGGGTCAAAACCAGATTGGGTTGAGTTACATTTTCGTGCTGTGATTGCCTCTATATGATGCCATGAGTCTTTCCTGTGTATTATTTTCCCCCTTCTCAGTTCTCAAGCCTCTGGAATTGTTACATGCACCAACTGGTTTAAAGGGTAGATTTTTCCCAGCGGTCGAATTTCCATTGGGATTTGGACCACACCAAATTGCTTATCTAAGCGGTTCGATTTGACCACACCGATTAAATTGCGGTGTAATATGCAATATAGTCCAAATAATATGCGGTGCAGTTCACACCAATGCCCATCCCTATTCAAAATTACTTAGTTTAGATTGTTCCAAAATCTCTCGCTTCAATCGCCCATCCAAACGACCCAAAATTATCCATAGCCTCGAGTAGGGGGTGGCAGTTTGGTTATTTCGGTTATAACCAGTAACTGATCAGTCGGTTATCAGTTAACCGAAATAACCACCCCCCATATCGAAAATCGACCGAAATAGGCTTTGGTTACTCGGTTATCAGTTAACCTAACCACTTTTAAGACCAAAAACCATTGCGTTCAGCTTCCGATAATCGAACGAAGTTCGGTTACTTCGGTTACCGGTTAGTAGATAACCGACCGGTTATCGGTTTAACCGACCGATTAACCGGTAACCATTAACCGAATGGCCAGCCCTAGCCTCGAGCACCTGGGGGCTAAGATCAGGCGACTAAGGGGGGGTCCCTTAGTCACATGACTAAGTCAATCTCAGCCATTGAGTCTCATTAAAATCTGATGGTTCAACTTAATTCAGCTTAATGAAGGATAAAGTGGTAATTACACTATTTATTTATTAAACAATTAAAATAAAAAATAATGGTCTGTCCTCAACCCTCCCTCGGTGGGCCTTTTCTGGGAAATTCCTCGGCAATCGATGAGGGATTTTATGCCTCCAAGTGGTTTTTTTGCACCCAGCAAACACACACACACACACAAAGAGAATTTATTTCCGACGATGGCGGAGGAGCCTCCTCCGGTGACCAAAGACGGCAGGCGATGAGCTTTCGGTGACCGGAGACGGAAGCCGATGATTTTCCGGCTACAGTCTTGGATTTATGATGTTTGTATACCTATTTTGTAAAGTTTATAAGTCTGGTTTGTAATGTTTGTATCGATTCGGTTTGTATCAGTTATCATTCTAGTTTGTCAATTTTATATAGGGTAATGTCTATTTTTTATCCAAATATTTTTACATTCTTTTGTATTATCCAAACCTATTAAAATGCTATTAATTAGCCAAATCTTTAATGCATCAAAATATTAGCCATTTTTACATTATCGTTAATAATTTTGTAACTCTTTTATTAGTTAAAATACTAAAATTTTGGAATGTTGACCTTCATGTGTCTCTTCCAAGTTTGTATCATGTTGCCAAGTCTATATTACTAACAAAATTGCTAACTGAAAGTTAACATTTGGTTAATTCTTAGTATTTTGATAGGTTTGGATAATATAAAAGAATCTACAAAAGGTTTGGATAAAAAAAATACACATTACCCTTTTATCTATTATGTTTGTAATGTTTATATGAAAAATTTGTATATATTGTAAATCGTAATGTTTGTTTGTCTACTTTGTATACTTTATGTTATGATTTGTATAATTTGTATTCATTGATTAGTAATACAAGTGTACTATTTTGTATTGTAAGTAGTAGCATTTTGTACTGTTAGTATATTTTGTACTGTTTGTCAATGTGTTTTGTAATGTTTTGTTATTTTTGTAATGTTTGTTGGTTCCTTTTGTAAAGTTTGTAAGCTTTGTTATTTTTGTCCATCATTTTTGTCAACCATGTTTGTAATGTTTTTTATGTCTAAAAAACAACCTTGTTGACTTTTGGACAAAACTCTTCTATATAGAGATGAAACCTCCAAAGTTAACCTGAGCGTTTTTCCATTTCGTATGGTTTGTCGGTCTACTTTGTAATTTTTGTCCACCATGTTTGTAATGTTTGTATGTCTAGAAAAAAATCGGGTTGACTTTGGGACGGTGCCCCTCTATATAGGGATGGAGTCTCCAAAGTCAACCTGATTGTTTTTTCATTTTTTTTTTGTTTGTATTGATTGTTGGTCTACTTTGTATTGTTTGTATAGTTCGTATATTTTGTATTGTTCGTAAATCTGTTTGTATGTTTTGTCGTTCTAGTTTGTATTGTTTGCGTGTTTGTATGGTTTGAACTATTTGTAAGTTCTTTTTCTATGCTTCATAATTTTTTATAATACCCAAACTACCACTGTTAGTAATTAAAAAGTCCTTCCCATTTTTTAACCGTTGGATCACTATGTACAGATCTAAGACCTGGGAGGGGCTTAGACCATCTCCATCCCGAAATTTTAGCAATTGGTAAAGTGAGGTGGAGCTTATATGGCATTTTTCTAGCAATTGCTAGGGATGTGAGAATACTTTCTAATATAACAAGATTGCTAAATTAGAAAGTCTTCTAGCAATGCAACATAGGTAATTGTTGTCTTTTTATTTTTCTTACTTACTAACTTTTCAATTTCAATGTGTTGAGGTTGGTTAAAATAATAGATGGGGTCCACATTAGAAATTGCTAACATAGTTTAGGGATGTAGATGACTAAAAACTGTGAAGTGGTGAATTGCTAAAATTGATGATGTGGCTGTAGGGACCACATTTAGAAATTGCTAACCAATTTTAGGGATGAAGATTATCTTAGTGAAGTGACTAAACACCCCGCTTAGTCACCCGATCCGCGCTCAACACGTGGTGACCCCTATTCTCAGTGGCGGATGCATGAAGGTTTAGGGGTGTCCTGGGACACCCCTAAAATTTGGAAGAACGATTATCCAAATTTCGATAGTAGTTTGCGTATAGGTAAAAAAAACCTTTAAGTGATAGCGGGACACCCTTAAAATTTGGGGAAATTATTATCCAACCTCATAGTGGTAGTTTGCATGTGGCTACAAATAATATTTAGGTGATACTCTATGTGATTTGAACTTGGACACTGCTACTATTCGTAAATATATTTTCAGTTAGACTATAACTCATTTGTTGTTATATTTTAGATCAAAATATAATAGTAAAAGGCTATTATGATCATCAATTATTCTCTAAACATAACAATTAAACAAATTACGAGTTACCCTTGTATAATATATGTCAAGAGATATTTGTTGAGCAGTGTAGACACATAAGGTATTTACCATTCTTTCATAATGCAAAACATGTATGACCTTTTATTGTAACTTTTACTCTAATAGGATATTCATATTTAATTTTTAATATTAATTTAATTTAATTTTTGAAAAAGGATACCCACTATGTAAAATTTCTAGATCCGCCAATTTGAAGATACTAGTAATCAGCCCGGGCTCCGCGCCGGGTTACGTTTGTCTTTGTAATTTTATGGATGACTTAAAAGTAGATCAAGCAATTGCTTGGCTGAGTAATTTAATTGGTGAATTATTGGAGATAGATTGGCTCAGCAAATGTAACACATTGGGTTCAGTAAAACGGAATGGTACAACGATCTTCAATAAGTTTTGTTTTTTGTATGGTTATGTAATGTAGAGTTGAGTTAATGGACATACTGTTATTTTTGTTATTGTTTTTGTCGAAGTATTAACTACCACTGGCACCACATTTTATTTTTTCTTCCACAAACATGAATAAAGGGATCACATTTTTGGAGATAGATTGCTCTCATAGCATGCACTTCGCGTCGGGACTTGTTCAAAACTGAGGATTTTTTCCATAATCACAGAAATTTAATAAAGTTAATAAAGCAGTTTACCATACAATTCTGCGTTCAACAGTATCACCACCACTACCAACATATATCCATAATAATCACAAATTACATTGCA